CTCAGACAGACAGCCGGGGCTCAGACAGACAGCCTGGGCTCAGACAGCCGGCTTGCCACGGAGCACTCGGATTTTGGAGCTTTGTCTGGATCTGCAGTTTTTGTTGAGAAGTATTGTTCGTGTCTATGGGATTGGTGCTAGACTGAGTATGAAGTTGAATTTTAGATTGTCCCTTGTGAGGCTCCAATGCTTTTTTTTTTTTTTTTTTTTTTTAATATCTGTTTGCGCTTTCTTCTAGGAAAGTATTAATTGCTTGGCTTAGCTGAAGAACTCTGTTAAATGCGTGTTGTAGTTTTACTTCCTGAAAGCAAGTCATTTCACAAGAAGAGAAAAATCTCAAGCTAGTAGGGAGCGGGGTGTTATGTTTTGTGTGGCAATGGACATACTTCATTGCAGGGTGCTACTGCAGTGCTCAGAAGGCTTTTACGTGTGGCTGAGCTTCCAGATCTCACAGTGCGTATGAGGTGTAAGCTGCTAAGGTGTTTGTACAGTGTGATTGGATGTAAGGCTGCAGTGGGGGGATGGAGCTCTTATGGTTAAATAGTGTGGTATAGCTGGAGGAAAAGATGTTACGTTAAGCCAGCTTCTTGATGGAATAAGGGTCACATCTAGGATTTAAAAAAATAAAAATGATATTAAAAAAAAATAGAAAAAAATTCTTTCAGAGGTCACAAGCACAGCCTACATGCTTTGAACGGCCTTCTAGAAAAGCGCATTTGTCCCCATTGGTTAAGAACACGGTTTTCTTCACATCAGCTGCCTTTATGGGTTGAAGTTAATTTCTTCCATGATGATAGAAAGGTTAGCTCTGTCTGCGTATAAATGCTGCAAAATGCTAAGCAGGCATGAAAAGGCTGTGCAGCCTTGGCAGTTAAACAGTTATAATTGCTGCTGGAATACTGTGTAGTGTTTGCAGTTCCTGAAGGAAGCAAAATGCTACAGAATTCAGAGGAGCATTTTTTTTTTCCTATATAAATTCAAGTATAGAAAACATCTCCCAAGGTTGAGAAGCCTACTCTATTAGTGTATCAAAGCAAAGGCTTTTGGTATGGTCCATAAATACATACACCCCATCAGTGGTTTGGTAGAGGATTAATCAGTTAATCCAGTAGACAAAATGCAACAAAAATTAGTCTTGTCATAGAAAGAAATTAACTTGCCCAGCAGTAGGAATACATACGTAATCATTTATGTAAATTGATGGCTGTTATTACAATCTACTTTGGATGATAATTGTATTATTGCAACATTTTTTCATCTAATTGGGATGTTTTTCAGGAGTGCACCTTGTAGTTCAGATACAGATATGGTAGGAATTCATGTAAGAAAATCTCATGACCTCTGTTAAGGGAGGTATCAAGCTGAAAGGTTTTTAAAGATTTTTCTGGCCTATTATTTTAGTCATATTATAAGAAATTTCATCTAATAGGACTATATAAGGTTATTATGCATTAGATTAAGAATGTGTTTTTTTCATACTTTAAGTCAAAGCAAAGCGATTTGCTCCTAATGCTCTACTTAATTGACTAGCCAGCACCAAAGCACTGCCTGAGTGAGGGAGGAAGTATATTTTTGAATTAGCAGATCTCTACTTTTAATTCCCTTAGTTCAGAAATGTAACTGTAATTAGAAAAAAGGCATCCATATGATGACTTTTTTAGTCCCAGATGGGTAGCTGTCATTTTGAACATAATCTTTTCTTCTCCTTTTGAAGTAGAAATGAGTAATCTTGGAAATATTAATCTGACTTCAACTATATTTATCCTTCTATCAACAGTGATGACAGACTTTGATTTCTTGCCATACGCAGTATGCACTGTGGTGCAGAGGACTCCGGTTGCTGTAATTTTCAGAAGGAAGAATAACGATCACAGGGAACTGTAAGTAAGTTATTGTGGTTTATTTGTATACTACAAAAAGCAAAGTTCTCAAGAGTGAGGACAAAAGATACACCAACTTTGAATCCCTGCTAAAGAGATGATGGATGGTAATTTGTAAGTGATAAAGATTGGCTTCCTTTTTTGGCAGTGGTTACCTGGTACAGGACCAGCTGTACACCTGTTCCTGCTGGGCATGCTGCCATTGGGAATAGTTATGTCAGAACAAATAATAATAATAGAAAAGTAAGAATGATTCATCATGTCAGGAAAGATGTTTAGATATTGGAATTTTTTCTCTAAACTATTGGAGCGCTAAGCCTCAGCACAGCTCTTTCTGCCCTTGTCAACATGGTCTGCAGTGACGTAACTGCAGTTGTCGTGTGTTTAGACTTCCTTTATTTTATTTTTTTTTTTGGTTGCAGGGAATAAGTGTGTTCATTGGGGTGGGTATTCTGCAGCGAGCCCTGTGTCCTGCAGCACTTTCCCTCCTTACTTCATGAAAGTAATTTGGATTGCTTGGGCTTAAATATCCATATAGACAGGCCAGCAATCTCTGTAAATGGCATAAAAACTTACATTCTTCTTAGCAAGCATTTTCCTAAAAATGCAGCCTTATTTTGGAGGGAAAAAGCTACACTATGCAGTTTATTTTTACCACAGGCAATGTCAGAGACAAGAGGCCAGATCCAATCAAATGAAGTAAATGGAATTACCCTGAATTTACTCCTGTATAAGTGGGAGCTTGTTTTAAGCCCCAAGCTATGTGAAAATGATTGCTGTTCTTGTTGCTAGCATTGCCCATGTGAGAGTTGACATAAATATGACCCAGAGTGAACTTGCTTAGCAAGTGATAGGCTGTGTGTTTTCACTGTGAGTAAAAGGCTTTAAGAGTTGAAATCTCAGATTTGTGAAGGAAAAGAGGTGCCTAAGTTCTGTTAAGATCAATAGGAATTAAATGCTTAAATTAAATGCTGGACCTATGCCTCAGAAAGCTTTTAAGAACTTTTTTAGCAACTCTGCGATCTTCTCAGCACTATCCTCATGATTAAAATCTGACTTTTTAACTGCTCTGAAACTCTTGATGAGAATAAATGTCGAAGTTTGTTTTAGGTTGACTTTTTGTAAGAAATCAGCACTATGCTTTTGCTGACTTATTACCTGGGAAATATTAGCATACTTTTAAACTTTGCAAGCAGCTGAGGAGGTAAAAGTTTCCATTACAGCATTTGGGAAGGACTGCACTCCGCCGTGAGTAACTGCATAGACAGTTACATGGAGTTGAAGAATGATCTTGTAAGCAGGTGTATTATGACTACAGAAGAATTTAAATACTATGTAATAGTGTATAACTTGTCAGCCCCCCCTCTTCCCCCACTTAGAGCGGATGGCAAAAGAAAGGCATTCGGTCCTTCTGCAGACTCTTAAAATTTCTGCTGTGATTTAAACTATTTCAAGTCCCATTATTGTTCTGCTTTAGCTATTCTCTTGTACAGTATCGCTGTACAAAAAGATGCAAACTCAAGAGAGATACATGAGGATTATATCAGAAAGAAACCTGCTTGTTCTAGAGGAGGGTAAAAAGTGTATGCACCCAATGCTTATGTGGCTTGGTGATAAGTTGTTCTGTATGTGGCCTGTTTTGCTGCACGTCTCTTTAAAGCTGTTAATATAAGACATCAAAAAGAAACTGTGTTTTTTACAAATACAAGATTTATTTATCACCTAGTTCTGGTAATTCTAAGTTTGAATTATGCCTTTAAATGCTTCACTATGTGGAAAAGTTTAATAAAACAAGCATGTGCTTGCATATATAAATATATATATATATATATGTATTTATGTAAGTATATATGCATTGGAGATTTAAATATTGTGCCAGAACCCAGCTGCAAAGGCAGTTCGAATGGCTATTGTGTACCTCTCATCCTAATGGTACCCCTGATATTTCAGAAAATGGAACAAGCCACAACTGTAACTAAGGCCAACTTATATCTGGTAACAGCAACATTCAGATCTTCAGTTCTCAAGAGCCTGTGAAAAACACTGTAAATTCAACTGAACTAGTAAATTGTGGTTAATTAGAGGGAGGGAAAAATAATTCTTCTAATTGAATGATGGGTACACAATGAAAATACTATAAGGCAGCTTCCGAAAAGATATACAAATGGGGTAAGTTTCTGCCTTTGCAGTGGGGGACCTCTGTAACTTAAAACATGAAGAGTGAAGCTCAGCAGGTCCAGACTTGGTATCGGCACAATTTTCAAATTGTTTCGGAACTTGAGAGTTGCAAGAGTTCTTGCAGCTGATTCTTGTATAGGCACAGCCTGACAAGCACAAGTGTAGAAAAGCATCTTAGGTTACAGATCTTTTTCCATTTGCAGTTTCTGCAGGAGATCTGCTACTGCAAAATTGGCAGGCATCTTGTGGAAAAAAACAACCAAAAAACCCCCTCACAACCCCCAAGGTGACAAAGAACACTAAATTTCACACAGCAAGCTGCAGAAAAATATTTTCTTCCTTGTAGAACAATAGTAGATACCATGTCCAAATTTTTCCATTGATCAAAATAATTCAACAGAACGAAATTCTGCTGCTCTTGTGCTTCAGAAATCTTCTAATAACTAAATGATGCTTAATGTAGCTTTAAAGCTAACCCCCACCCCATGTTCTTTCCATCAAGCATAACTGTTCAGCATCTTGATATAATATACAGCTTTCAGATCAGAAATGTAGTGGTAAGAATGATTTTGAAACCCTCAAATGAGGTCTCAGTGTACATGTATTGTGTTGCCTTTTTGTTTTTGTCACTGTTGTTGGTCATGTTGACTGATTGATAACTGAGTCCCTAAAAATTACCTAGTGTCACCTAGTTGTGCTTTGTATGGCTTGTCTTGGAATGTATGTGCAGCTAGGGAAGTAGAAGGCAGGGTTTTCTAATGGTGGGAATGACTGTCAGCTTCAGTTTTGAGATGACCCAAGCTGAATTTTGCCAAGTTCCCCATGATAAACCACTGCATAGCTCTGAGTCTTCTGCCATGCTTAATATGTTTTGCCAAGGCATATTAAACATTGCTGTTCCACAACTTTTTGAATGCAAGAATTATAAACAATTACAGTATAATCACCAGAGTTAAAGGAACTGTCCTATCAACATGTGTGCAGATATGGCACCCAACAGAGAGGTTTAGAGATGGGATTCCTGTTCTGTTTCTGTTCACTTAATTGCAGGCTGTTTGTCAGAATCTGGGACAGTTTTAGTACTGAATGTTCAGAGAGGATGCATTATTTTGTGTTGTTGTTGTTAATGGCAGTGTGCAGGTATGTTTTTCTTTATTGCCAGAACAAGAATTCTGTCTCAAAGCTCTGAATTCTGATTTTTCCTTGACACTTGCTTCAGTTTTTTTGTTTGGTATATATAGATGACAAAAGTCTTTCAGTGTAAAGGCTCTACTTCTAACACCTATCTAAAAAAGAGGGATGAGTCTATGCAAAAAGGAGTCATTTAGAACATAACAGCAGGGAGCTCTGGGAAGCATTGCCCTGTGTTATTGCACAGACTGCTGCTTCACAAGGCTCCAAGCAAATTAAAAACTGTGATTGAAAAAAGCTTGACAGAAATTTGAGAGGAAAGGTGCAATTAACGTCGGTTAATAACAAATTAATTATACAAAGAATGATGTTCAATTATTTTATTTTGCCCAGTATCTTTCCAACAGATTTATCATCTGTTTGCGTTCTGAGGCTGCATTGTTCAATTTATTATTGGCCCACTGTCTGTGCACATATGCAGATCATTTTGAAAGTAATGCCCCCATTTACCTCTGTGGAAACTACAACAGATCCAGAGAGCACAGTAGCACTATTTAGCAAATTTGCAGCTACAAGACACTATTCTTCAGCACGCTCACCACTGTTAGCTGCACGTTTTCACACTGGTGAGTCTGTGTGTCGCGTTCATGAAAATCTGCGGTAGGTGAGGTGACCCACTGCTGTTGTTGCCACTGCTGAACTGCACCACCTGCAGCCTCACTGAGCTCACACCCCCTCTTTGGTCTCTGTAAGTATTCACAGTCATCAATGAATGTCAGTGGATAAAATTTTTTCCACATGGAGGAATTCAGTTCCACCCTTTGCTCCCCTCACACTTCCATGTCAGGCGCCATTCTGTCCCAGTGCCCCTCTGCTGCCATCTGTCACACAGCAACAACCTGTCACAGAATGTTGGTGGGCAGGTTCAGCCTCTGCTGCCATCCCACCAACAGCTGCCTCTGATGTTGTGGGCTGATATCACAAAACAGGAGGCGTTACTTTCAGAGCAGTTCTTAAGTTTCCCTTTCACTTAAATGCAGTAAAGACAAATGCATAAGAGAATGTTTTTAATAGTATTGTAGTGACATTTTCTCCTGGGCTTCAGCCATGCTCTTTTATCTATATTCATGTGCTCTTTAGATGGGCTCTGAGGGGTTTATTTGGTCAGCTGTATCAGTGGAAGCTGGTAATATGTAAAATCTGATACTTCCTTTTCCTTCGGGGGTGGATGCAAGTTAAAATGCTCAAATATCTGACAATCCTTTACTGATGTTTGCATACCCACAATTAGCTGTGGGAGGCTTATTTTGTTATATAGTGACATCCCCTCTTCACATCTAGGTGAAGTGAAATCAGAAATCACCAGCCTGGGGCCCAATAGAAGTGAAGCTGTTTTGAATGCCAGGAGGAGTCAAACAGTGAGGAAGTCCCACTCTGCAAGAATCTCCCTGTGGGAGTTCTTCCATTGAAACTGCGTTATGATTCCATTTTGAGTGTCCATTTCTCAGTTACTTGTAAATATTCTGCGTTCCTGAGGGATGCATCATATTTAGCACTTCGCAATTGTGCACAAAATTTACTGCTCTATGAAAACAAAGAGTAATTTGCCCCTTCACGAAAAAAGGGGACTCCTGGGACTGCAGATGATTAGACTGTTGCAGGGCTGCTTTATCAGCCATTTTATAGCCTAAGTTATTACCTTCAGCTGTTTTTTATCTGTTGTTTACCAATAATTGTTTACATCAGTGTTTTCTGCAGTCTTTTTGTCTTTTATCACTACGACTCCATCACCCTCCTTTCGTTACCCATTTTCTGCTTCTGTTGGCTGGCTAGCTGTAATATGATTTCTGTGTTATTGAAAAGCAGCTTTCTCTCTATTCTTTTTCAGTGCTCTTTCTGAAAGCTGTGATTGCAAAATTGTACCAAGCAAGGCTGCTGGGTTTTATTTATCTCTCTCTGCTATATTTGCATTTTGCTGAAAGTCATTTCTGATTTATTTTATTTTTTTAGTAAACATAATTAGCTCTTGTGAATAGGAAACTGTATTTCTTGATTGCTTTTTAGTGAAGCACTTTTTTTTCTCCTTTGAGACACATTGTAAACAGGACTGTTTGGAGAGGTATATTTTCTGTTTGGATTTTTTTTCCTAGCTAGGATGTACTGCTAGCCTTAGGAATCTGCAGATCTCTTCTTAATACAGACTAACTGGAAATGTTGCCTGTTCTCCAAAACCATTAAGAGTGATGTGCCAGATTCAGTCATTGACTTATAGTGATAGGAGTTTCTGCTCAGTTACTTGGTTCATTCTCTGATAAGTATTATTTGGAAGGTACCTCATGGGCATAGTATGATGAAACAGTATTGAAAAATACAGGAGTATATGCAGTGGTCCTGTCATACCTGGATGTTAATCTAGGTATTAGATTGGTTACATAAAACCGATTTTTCTGTATGTTCCTTATGCTCCTTTTCAGTGAAAGCCCCAGAGATACTCTATCGTCCATATTACATTTGTCAATCTTGCTTAATCTGTGAGTTTTACATTCTCTATTCTCTGCACATTGGTAGCTTAGGCTTGTTGTGCTAGCATTCTCCTTTGAAATAATTTCACAACAATTTTTGTTGTGAAATTATTCTATGCTTAGAAAGCAGAAGGATAGTTTTTATGTTAAATTTTATTTGATATGACATGTTTTGAGTGTCCTCTGGGATATTTTTATCTTGATTTTTATTAGTGATGTTAGCAGAATATAAGAAGGTTTCATTACCATAAATAATCAAATGCTCAACATATTTTCTTTTCCATATCACTAGGACCTCGTACTTGCTATGACTGAAAAGTTCTTAAAGAAAACTCGTGGCAGGCAGTGGATAGCAAGGAGGAGCAGCCCAAAATCGATTCTCAGGTAAGCATTTTAATGTCTGTTAAACTGAGCTGAGATTCATAGGGTGACTTTTTTTTTTTTTTTTTTTTAATTCTATTTTCTAAAACCTTTCGCTGGAAGGACCTTCTTATTTTAACTTACATTTGAAGAGGTTTTTCCCAAGCTGTTTGCAAATCTAGTTCAACAGTTAAGAACATCTGTCTAGTGTGTTCTTGTTTTTTGTTTTGTTCTGCATTGACTATTGAATATTATGATGCAGAAAATGGTGAAATTTCACATTAATGGGAAGCCATGTTTCAAGGTAGCAGGCGATACACAGACATAACGTTTGCGTGTTCTAAAATCTGGAGCAAAATTTGTCCTTGCATGTTAGGATACTTAAAATTTGTGTAGACATACTCAAATTTGGTAAACTTCTTTATTAAAAAAATTTAAATTATTTTCTGAATGAGGTGTTTGTTTTCGTTGCTTTAAAAGAAGTAAAGGAGGAATGTTTTCAGCCAGGTTTTATTTTGTTTTGAAAGGTATCCAAAGCAACTATAATTAATGCATCATTTCTAGCGTGTATTAGGGGCCAATGTGCTTAAAATAGAAGTTCGTTCACTTCATTTTAAATATAGGAATTAGTATACATGAACTATTCTCAATATGTTTATCTCTTAATCGTAGTGATTAGGCATAGCTACAATGCTTAAAACTGAAGTAATTGGTTAAATAGTCGGTGCTAAAAGGCCAGCAATATGAGGAGCATTCTGGGGACAGCAGTGCGGATCTTGGAGCAGAACAGGCTGCACGTGGCCATGGCACTGAGCTAGAGTCAAGAGGAGTGTGGACAACAAACTGCATTAGGATTACATGCGTGTTTTTTTAAGCTTCACTGAAGTTCTCATCCTTGGTATTTAAGTCTGAACAATAAAAGTAGGTTCTTGATTGTAAATGTAATTTATTTTTCTAGGATTTTCTGTTGTCATTCTCTCTGATGCACTTGTTCTTAAATTCATCAAACTGGCTTAGGAAATGTGATTGGATGCAGCTATACTGACCATAGTGTGCTATTTTGTGATAGCTGAGGTGACCTCACAGAGCCAAGAGTACTGCAGCATTAGTGTTTGTTTCCAAGCAGTAGAGCTTCCTTGCTGTGCCCTTGGAAATAATATTATCAGTTTAAAATTCTTGAGTAGCCTAGTGTTTGTTCTTACGTAAATTTACATCAACTCTAATTTTCTTAAATTTGTTGCAGAATAAATCAGTAATTTTTATTTGGTGTTCAGCAGTCTTACATGTCCTGAGATACAGCTACAGAACACATTGTGCTGGCTCCCTGTTGTACTTCCTGCTAGTGGGGCAGAAGAAATACCCACAGAGGGTGGGTATAACTTGGCAGGTGCAGGGCAGTGGTGTTTTTGTAGCAAAGCAAGGGATTTTGCAGTCTGTTGGTCTTAATTCTTTCTGACATCACAGAGCCTGACGAAAGATATAGTTCTCCAAATGAAAAGACTTCAGAATTTTGATTTTTGTCTTAAGAGTGTCTGAAAATGCTTTTAAATGATTGACATCTACAGACTTGTGAATTCAAAATAACTTGAAATATCCAAACTAAGATTAGATTAATAGACAAGGACAAACATGTGCAAGAGGTATTTTTTTTTATATGACATCATAGTGTGTTAGCAAAGTATTGATAATGATTCTGAATGCTTCATATCATTTTATCTAAGCCCTAGTACCTTTGCAGGTTTCTGATAGTAAACCCAGGTGGGTAAACTAAAAGATCAGTGTTTCACGAGTGAGCATTTGTCACTTCTCTTTCATGCCTTGACTAGCATAAAAATCTGAAAAGCTGCTCTTTAGATTTGTGTTTGAATAGTGAATATGCAGCACTATAGTTAGAAAATACATGTGCAGGTCTTCCTTAACTTCATTTCTTGAGCATAATTGTCAGAATGTGCGTAACAACTGACAGACCAGTTAAAGGTAACATTTGTGGCTGAGTAATCCTAAATAATTATGCCAAGCTGTAGCACATGTCTTTATGCCCAAGATAACCCTTCTGAAATGGCATCTCAGAATATCAGTGTGAAAAATGACACAAACTATGTTGTTTGTTTTTCTGTTGTTGTTGCCATCATCTTCCAGTTGCTTTCAGCAGATTTTCGTATATACTTGTGGTGTCTAGGAAGGTTTTCTAGAAAGCTTTAGTTTTGTAGCAGCTTTCTGCACCTCTTCAGATGCAGCGTACAGGTAAATCAGCTGCATGCTTAGGCTGTATGATTGGCACGTGGTCTGAGCAGATTCCATCCTATGTTGTGGTGCTGTTACTTGTGCTAGTCTCACCTGCATCGAAGCAGGTGCAAATTTCTGTGTGCCAAAATAGTCCAAAGACTATTCTTCTCCTTGGGAAACCATGGGGGAATTTTCCTTCTTAATACAGAAAGTAACTTAACAACAGCTTCAAATGGCAACAATTGCTAAGGGAATAAATATATGGATTATCTTTGCAAGTGTTTTTGCCCAGATTACATACGTAGGAAATGCGTGTGCAGCAACAGCTATTGTGCAGCTGTTCTTAATAGGATATTCAGCAATAACTTGGATTTAAAGGAAGCGTGAAAGGAACCTCTAGACTAGTTCTTTGCCTCTAATTCTGAAAGATTCTTCTAGTTCTGTTTCATTATTGTCTTCTAGGTTTGATTTTTTTTTTTTTTCTTTTTTTTTTTTTTTTTTTTTTTGCTATACCTTTCTTGCTGTGTTGTTTCCTTGAAGATTTTCTGTAAATTATGTTCAAGCTGAGTTATGTTCCAGATGCTTCAGATCACCCTCCCCCACCACCACTCTGTGCATACTCTAAACCCACCCCAGCAGAAGATTCACCTGAGCATCAAGTGCAGGCAGAATTTGGTATACTGATACCTCATGAAGGCAGTCAGTATCTTTGAGATTGTCCTTAGGCTGAAGCTGCTTGTGTTGTTTGCTTCACTTGCGGCATCACTGCTTTTCACAGTCAGTAAATCTCAGCCTTCTGAGTGCTGGAATTTAATTACCCTGCTTTATTCAAGCAGCTGTTACAAAGAGCTGAAAGTAGAAGTCCCTTTGGTGCCCATTACGAGCTGCTTTCAGTGTTTGTTTTGCAGAAGCATTTATGTTCCCCATAAATAACAGCATTGACTGTCTGAACCATGGTGTGGGAAAATACTTACATATCTGAGATAAACAAATTCTTGTGTCTGTCTGATCAGTGCTTAATGATGGTTTTGCACAGTTGTAAAAGCAGCTCTGTTCACTGTGCTTCAACAACCCTTAGATAATTTGGCCAGGTATAAAAATTTTAAAGGGCATGTGTGTCATCTGTCTTAATTCTTATCTCATGTTTTTTATTTTGATAAAATGCTCAAGTACTGGTCACTGGGATCACTCTGAGTAGTAACCCTGTTAGTTTTCTTCTAACTACTAGTTTTGTTCTAAATGGTCTGCTTAAGAAGTGCTTTTCAGAGTCCCAGGTGGAAAGTGAAGAATCAGAAGAGGAATGGAGACCAGTTGTTCTGTACAACTGCTGCTTAATCAGTTTTAGATATACAGGGTTTGTGCATTTCTACTTGTTTGATGTAAGTGATCAGAAACTGTACTACAGTGTGCTCGGAGAAATCTACCTTTGAATTAGAATTTCTAGCCTTAGTTTTTTCCCAAAATGGAGTGGATCTATAACAAATCAGTTTTCTTGGGAATAAAAATGTCAAATGTAAGCAATTCTAATTAGAAAGGTGTGTCGCTTTCCTAAATTTTCACGTCCTACGTCTACCAAATAATCTCGTACAGCACTAATACTGCTCACTTGACCCCTCATAAATTTTCACTTGAAGACCTCTATCTGGTAAATACTTTAAATCATCTCAATGAATTAATACATAATAATTTTATGCATGGCAGAGAAATCATTGAAATTGGCGCCCAGAGCTAAGAGTCAACAACAGGAACTATGTAACTTTGGATGTACCTCTTCATGTTGCTGTCGTGCAGAAGCCTTCACTACTTTTTAAAAAAGTTTACGTATTCAGAGCAGGAAACAAAACTACACTGCATTACAGAAGCTCCCTGTGTGAAGCAGTTCCCTGATGGCTTTTAGGGTATATGAAAGAAAGTAATTCTCAGTAGCAGTAAGATTAATTCCCTGGGAGTTTGTGCACACAAGTTGTGTATGAGTTTTTTGGTGGGTGTTTGGTTTTCATTTTTTGTTCTGTTTGCAGTGTGCTCATTTCCTAAAATTTTGTAAGTATTGTTTTGATGGAATAAACTTTAGTGTTGAATCTATAGTTACCCAGTGTCAGATTATGTAGGTCTTCTGTAAGGCGGTACCTGTTACACAGTGCCATTCATTACAGCTGTCCAGTGCGTACTTGCAAGTTTCCTGGGAGCTGTGCAAGGGTAATTCTTTCCAGTATCAGCCTGTCATTCAGAACAAAGCAACTTGAATGCTCACTGCAGAGATTAGGTATTTTTCCTCTTTCGAAATGGTCATTGGAGGGAGTCTGATGATGATTTTTGTGCAAGACCCCTGACCCAGAACAGCAACTTTGTATTTCTGCCATGTATTTCAAAATACATGCGTGGCTAGCCAGCTGAGGATCACTGAAGTCTTTTGGATATTGTTGAAGACAGTCATGTAAAATATGTGTTAGTCTGAGATCTTTAAGTGAAAAAAAAAGGAAAAGTTTGTGGGCTTAATTACTAAAAGCAAGATGCAAGGGAAATATAAGGAAGAAAATTGCTGTTAAAATACAATTTCTAACCAGTGTATGCTAGTAACCAAGAAAATAAAATATTACGGTGTGACAAAGTACGTGGTCAGAATGCTTTCTTTGGAATTAGTGGATTCCATCTCTGGGATCTCACTGGTTGGTGCTTTTTTCACTGCTTGTCACATTCTTGAGGAAGGTTGAACAGTTTTTATAGGAAGATACCAAAGCTTGTAACTAAAAGAGGCACTTAAAGACTTTTACCTATTGGATACATGTTGG